AATGGATCACAAGTCCGCATCTTGTACAGCAATTAACCACTAAGAAGAATATATGCAGTGTATTATTTGTTGAAAAATAAAAAAAAAAAAGGTAGGATAGATACACAACTACTTTCTCTTAATTCAATGAGAAGAAAGTTTTGCACTAATAGTGTTTGGACAGGATATCATGTCTGCATCTTGTATTATAAATAAACGCTATGAAGCCAATAAAAAAAAAATTTAATAAACAGTTTGTCAAAGTTAAAAAAAAAACAACTCAGTTTGATATAACAAAAATATTGTCAAATGCTGGTTACATATTTATTAACTAAGGATTATTTAAGTCCATAAAATTATAAAAGAATAAAAATAAGTCCAATTGCTCCTTGGGTTATGACTTATTTACAGCTATATTTCGAGCATATAAGCAATATTCAAGTGGTCTCTTCCTTTTTCCCCACCCTGGCAGCACCCTTAAAAGCCTAATCAAAGAGTTGATCCTCCAGCTTAGGAACAAGGACAGATACTGAACCTATCACCAGGCGCACTGACAGCAAAAGATGACCCAAGCCTGTCTGGGAGATCTCTGCAGCTGAGAATGAAAGTGCATGGCCATTTTTTTAAATGAACAACTCAATCTTGCAATAAGCTTTCCTGGATTCACAATTTGAACATATATATGATACAGAACCGTAAGGAAGCAATCTTTCTTGAGTTCTCTGACCTTAATGGTTAAGGTAAGAATAAATTCCATTTGAAGGTTTTAATTAAGAATTTAGAGCCAGGGAGATGGCACAGTGGAATAAGCACTTCCCTGGCAAGCGCAAGGGCCTGAGTTCAATCCCCGGTTCCGCCAAAAAAAAAAAAAAAAAGAAAAAGAAAAAGTTTTGGGCTGGGAGATAGCTCAGTGGCATAAGTGCCTGTCTGACAAGTGTCAGGTCCTGAGTTTGACCCCCAGCACTGCAAAAAAAAAAAGAATTCAAGCACAGAGGGAAGGTAAAGAGTCTACAATCCTTTAGAATGTTACTGTTCTAATAGTCACCCAGCATGCATTCACCTTTATAATGGATTCCGACACTGTCCATTGTTCATTATAATTTCTCTTGGAGAAATCCTTTTCTGTCCTTTATCAAGGAGGGAAGAGTCAAGTCTATTTTTAGCATTATTATGTCTTAATGGCCAGAACAGGTTACATTTGTGGTTCTGGAAACAAGACAAGTCTCTTCTTCCCAAAATCTTCCCAACAAACACACACACACACACACACACACACACACGCACGCACACACATACAAACTCCTAGAAGGAGAGCTCTGAAGGAAATCAAGTCTTTCACAACCAGATCAATAGAGAAAATTCAAATACTTGCTGCTCAACAGATCACACTCCACACTGCCCGGTTTTTAAGGAACAGGGAGAAAGGCCAAGACAGTCACAAAATGGAACCACTAATGACCACTCCCAGGTTTTCTACCCCAAAACTTCCCTTCACAGCCTAGAACAGAACGCCCCAGTCACCTGGACAGCGCTCAGTAAGTTAGCTCAGGCAAAAACACCCGAGTTTTCAAAGAGAGAATGAGGGCCCTCTTCCTTCCTCCTCATTTCTCCAAGCCACACTCGCCATGTTACTGAGTAGCTAACACCACTCAAACAAATTGCTCCCAGCAGCTCCAGCCTAGCACATGTAAGCTAATTACTTACTAGACAGTAATGGATTAGGAATAGCAAATGATCAAGTGAAATCATCTAATCCTCTGCCCATCCGCCAGAAAAGGTAAGTGATTCTTGCAGAAATCTGTCCCAAGTCTCACAGACAAAAGAGGTAGAGCAAAAATTCTAAACTAAGTTCCCATCTTCCACCAATCTTGCTAAGCAGTCCTGTGGATACAGCAAAATGACCCAGATCCAGTCTACGGTACTTGGGGGTAGGGGAGTCACCACTTGCTAAGTCCCAGCCTATCGCCTCTTGACATCCTGACATCCTTACACCCCAAAAGCTCACTGTCCATTATAGCAAATGGAATGAATTCTAAAAGGGGGAAAAGTCTAGCACACTGGAAACCGCCCACACTTAGTAACTCCACGACTCTCAGGCAAGTCCAAGCACCCATACCCACCAGAGCCAAGGGACCTGGTCTCCATGCTCTCTCCCCTGGCTCCTAACACCGAACTCCTCCACTTCCTCAGCAAGGACTTTGTCTTCTATTCAAGCACCAGCCTCTTAGTTAGGCCGTTACAGCCCTGCACACATCACTGAACTAGTCTCTTGATTAAGGATACCACTGTATTCTTAAGACATGACTCAATACGCCAGCGACCTGAAGCAAAGAGCTTTTTTGCCCAAAGTTTTAAAATATTGAGTATTTCTGCTGCTTTTCAAACTCTTCTGTCACTTTCCCTGTCACCTGTTACTTCTTACAAGCAGGAGTTGCCCACAGAATGTTTCTTTCTTTCCAGATACAAATATACAATCCTGACCTAAGGACTTAAAACGTTTTATCAGAGAATTGGATTCTGTTCTTCAAAATGAAATTCTAACATCTCATTCTGCCTCTCTTAATACACCCAGTCCAACCCCCATACGAAGCAAAATCAACACCAAAAGCAACTAAATGTTTTTCATCTCTCCTAATAAGAGGGTAGCTAAGGTACAATACAGAGGTTTAACGTCGACCAAAAGATTTACACCTGAGAGTATAAACTGATATTTTTCCCTTACAGCAAATAAAATCCTGGAGTGAGAACAGTCCTAAATTTCACACAACCCATTCATCCATTTTGCCCACTTTAAAGTCAACCTACCCTCCGGGACTCCAGCTGCTTTTTCTCTTCTGACCCAGAGGGTGACTTGGCCCAGAAGAAGCCGATGACGGGCAGACCCGACAGAATGTCGGAGAAGACGGCGGCCTGGGAGCCGCTCTGGGGGCGGCCGAGGAAGCCCCCGCTGCGGTGGCGACAGCGGTAAGACAGCACCAGGCCCAGCGACAGGAATACCAGCACGCACAGCACGAGCTCCTTGACGGCCAGGCTCACGAAGTCCCCGCACTTCTTATAAAAATAGGTGAAAGTGGCAATGCCCAGGAAAGTCCACATGGCTGCAAAGACTTCTTTGGTGGCACTTGTCGACTTTTTTTCTCTCGTAGGGTTTTGGTGATTAGAGGTTTGTTACTAAGAGACAAGGCACTGGCAGAACTGCGCTCAACACTGCCAGGGCACCACAACGCCGGCGCGATCAGTGTCCAAAGCCCCCGGAGAGTCGGTAACAAAGCATCAGGAGGCGGGGAGACAGGACCCGGGACGGGACGCACGCACCACCCACCCCGCCGCTCGAGAAGTCCCCGCGCGCTACTCCCCGGGCAGCACCCCACGGCCCGATTGGGCGTCGGCTCGGTGCTGCACCGCTCAGCCCTCCACGGAGAATGGGCGGCGCTCACGCGGCTGACGATCGCCGGAGCGACGCAGGGTCTACGGCTCCCGGCCCGGCGACCACCGCCCGCCCGCCGCGGGGAGGCCGACCGCCGGCGCCAACAAAGAAGGCCTTGGCTGCGCGGAAGCGGACTCCTCCGCCAGCTCCCCGCCAGTCGCGACTCGGCGTCCTCGCCCTGCGGCTCCCTCGAAGTCTCGCTCGTTCGCCGCCCTCCCCGCGCGCCGCCGCCGCCGC